TCTTTTCGAGGTGCTTTTTCGGGCATATGAGGTATTCCACTCGCACAAGTATACTATCCCCTTATTTCTTGGAAGGGAAACGAGATAAACAAAGTACGCTTTCTCAACCAGAGAAGGACCTTCATCTCCAGCAGATGACTGGCTTCAGTGCTGAACGTGGGTTGCCAATTACGACAATAAAGGTCTTGCATTTGCTTTCCCCAGTAGGGGAGATTTGTTGCAGTGAATTTCTATCGATTTTCTTTCGTTCTGGCCATCTGATGAAGCATCATGTCGCGGCCGATTGGTTATGCATGGATTGCGCATTTCCATCGCTAAACTCTTGAACTTGTCATTTACGTATAATAACATCATTAGGCTTTGGTAGCGCCTATTACCTTCTTCAATCCGTTCCCGTAACAAAAACTCAAGCTCCTTGTATTCCTCTCTGAGAGCATCAACAGGAACGAATTATGGCAAGTTTCTTCCTCTCCCAACACAGAATTACTCCAGCAAATGTGAAGCTCTATTTCCCTGGGGTTGTAGAGAAAATGAATCTCGCTTCATGTATATGTAAATTTTATTGTTTATTTCCCCCCCCCCCCCGAGTAGCCACTCCTGGGAAATTTTTGGAAGAAAGAGACCAACCATAAGAATTAAATTGACTTGTGGATGACGAAAAAAGCCATTTTTTTGTTTGCGATGCACCACTTCGCCATAAAAAGTGAAAATAGCTGTCTTTCATTTGAATTTCAGGTGCTGGCTCCGGTCCCGTCTCCCACTGTTCCCGGATGTCGGACCCCCATTGTGCAATTATGCTTCGTATCAGTGACTGGATTTTGTTTTTCAATGTATGATCAATTTTTGCGCTGAGTTCATGGAATGAGCTGATGAAGCAGTGATTTATCATTGCGGTTGGATATGGAAATATATTACCCGGACATACCTGAATTACCAGGATGGCGTGCACCATGAACAGTTATTTTTTTCAAACACCCTGTACACAGCCCATGCCAACCAGATAAGACTGCCCATAGATAAGGAGGCTGGTAAAGAAACTCGTCTGCCTATCGACTACTCTTGGGCTCAGTCCTGTTCTCCCAATATCAAGATTATGAGGAACACCATCAGCGCATCTCGGGTGCCCCATCTGTGAAGTTCATCTTAACCCTTCTGTACTCGTGTCGTTTTCATCCCCATTTTTAGTTGTGGAGTTTGGAAAGGAAATGCCCCACGCGACAACGGCAGGCTTAACCGTGCCCATGACATTGGGGGTGTGAGAAGACATTTTCATTCGTAAGTCATAATAATTCTTCATTTAGCATCGAAATCCTAGTAAAATAGTGCAAGGGGAAAGAGACAGTATGAATATGCTAGGGTAAGTCAGAAAGTAAGGTTCCCATTTTTTCCCCCGCCAAACTAACCAACATCTGGTGCGGTGACACCCCCACATGTTAGTGCCAAATAATGTCAACATGTGAGGAAATTGGTGCCGTGAGTTCGAAAATGGTCGTGTGACTGTTGTGGATGAGGAGAGAAGTGGACGCCCATCGACATCATCCGACGTTGTCGATCAGATCGATGCAGCAGTTCGAGCAGACCGACGTTTGTCTCTTCAGAACTTGGAGCAGTCTTTCGGACGTTCACACGGATGTGTCTGGCACATTGTGGACGACCGTCTAGGCTATCGGAAAGTCTGCAACAGATGGGTGCCGAAAAAATTGTTCGACGGCCACAAGCAGGAACGCATGAGAGAGTCGCTCGAAAACTTTCTGCAATACGCGGAAGAAGGCGACGACTTTTTGTTTCGCATCATCATCGGCGATGAGACATGGGAGCACCACTATACTTCAGAGGCAATGATGGAATCAATGACATGGAAGAAAAATTTCAAGAAAACGCCGAGTGCTGGGAAGGTGATGGCAACCATCTATTTGGACGTTCATGGGATCATTCTCATCGATTTCACTCCACGTGGTGAGACTGAATGCCGCAGCGTATTAGTTGACGTTGACACGACTGAAACAAGCGGTTCGACAGAAGCGGTCTGGACTGCTGTCGCAGGGAGTGCTTCTATTGCACGATAATGCCCGCCCGCACACTGCTCGCACCGCGATGGACCTTCTCAGCAACTGGCGATGAGAAACTGTTCACCACCCACCAAAGAGTCCAGATGCGGCGCCATCGGATTTTCACTTGTTTGGGAAGCTGAAGAAACATCTCCGAAGACGACGTTTTTCATCGGATGATGCCGTCAAAGAGGAAGTCACAAAGTGGCTTCAGGAAAAGGACGCGTCTTTCTATCGGCAGGGCTTCGATAAGCTGATCGACCGTTACGACAAATGTCTCAACAAGTCTGGTGACGAAGTGGAAAAAATAATGAACGTATATGGAGACATTTCCTGTATATTGTCTTGGGTATAATTACCTGCCTACCGAAGAAATTATATAGAGAACCTTACTTTCTGACTTCCCCTCGTAATTTGGATGTGACGTTTTTACTTTTGGTTTACAAACTATATAAATGTTGCCGTGACCAATAGGCATCATGGAATCCCAATATCTGTGATAAAACAGAAAACTGAACAGCATTTTGAAGTAACTACCCCTGCCATTGTAAAAGGCGTTCATTCACGCAGTGACTGAATCTGCGGGAATTAAGAACTTGACAAGGAAAACATTTTTCATCCAAAATGTTGCATACAATGAAAGGCAATGACAACTTAGCAACAAAAGTAATTACGACAATATGTCATTGATCTCGTCTGTCTCCAGCCTCTAGCTTCCGACAACAGCCATGAACGCGGCAGCTGACATCATTGCCTGTAACAGGGGAGACTTACTTTCCATCAACCATGATGCCGTCTTGATTGACTTATTGAAGCGGGGCATTGTTGAATACCACGAATATTATAGAGTCGTGGAACAGACCCCGAAGGAAAAAATGTCATTTCTCCAAGAAGTATTGCCTATGAGAGGAGACAATGCATTTCCAGCTTTCATTCAAGCACTTCGCGAGAATCACTACGCTGTTCTTGCCAACAGGCTAAATGAAGGTGAGTCGTGAAGAACACTTGCCTCAAAAGTGTCTATCTCATCAAATGTAAATTTTGACTGTAATTGACATTGACAGGTTCGTGGTAGGAAGGATAAGGAATGGCATAGACGCACAGTTTTTGGTTGTAGTAGTTTTTCCTTATGAATTTCGGGAGTGCGAAACTGTTTTACGAAGACGGAAAACATTAGCATCTTGTAAGAATGGCATAACTATAGCGCAAAGAGAGGATGTGTACATATGAATCTCAGGGGAAATGTGATATTTCAGCAGTAATTGTGCACGCATTAACCTAAAATCGCCATTACATTACAGAGTGGAAAGGAAGGAGGAGTGAGGGACATGGGGCAAGCTCAGGGGAAGGAGGAAGAGATGTTGGACCAAACGAGATGCCTCGTGCAACTGACGTAACTCCTGGTGCACAGAGTGGAAGCACCGCATCGTAAGTTCACAACTGTCATTCTTCGGGCAGGGGTCTGTCTGAACAAAGACCCCACTCCCTTTCTTAATATGGAGCCCTGGTTCCCATTGAAGCGATACATTGACACAGTATTGTATATTCCATTTTTCAGCGTCATTCGAAACTTGATCTTAAGAAAGTGGCATGCATATCCATAGCAAGGACAACAATGTTTAATGAGGGAACATTAGGTTTCCTATTGCCAATAGGTCTGATGTATGAAGCATGAAGAAAATCTCAGAGTGTGTGTAGTTCGGTGTAGTTAATGGGAAAAAAGTTATCCTTGCCCTTTGGAGCTTCACCTGCATATAAACTACCAAAAATGGACCCACTACATGTGTTCAGTATTTACACTGGGAATATAAATTTGCCGCAATCCTAGCCCGTTTACATGTTCTAAAACAAGTCCTCGTTATTGTAAGAATGAAATATTCAATTCCCCCACTGAAGTATGATATTTGAAGAAAATTTCTTGCCTTTCTTGCCTTTTTTAAAGTACAAAACTTTTAAATTGCTGAACAAGAAACTTTGAGGCATGTCCATTGCACATCAACCTCTGATATAGAAGATCGCAGTTTTGCTTAAAACCTTTTACATTGGTGCAAATTTTGAGGTATCTGGAAAGTGTGAAGATACCACCTTTTTAATTATGTGCCGAGGAATATTACTGTTTTTAAAAGGCAATGAAAGAAAATCAAAATTAAGATCCCTTCTTTTGTCATAAATATCGATCTCTGCCTTCTCTGCTACATTTATGCTAATGTTAAGGTCTAAGTAGTGCCCTGTTTTGAAAGGAGGCTCACCGGTTTTTTCGAGTGACAAACATCCTGGGTAAATGCTGCAAGTGTGCCAATTTTCCTGGCTTTGATACATCTACCTACTATTCCACAGTATACCACGGGAGTATTCGAAAGACACCTTCATCGTAGGATGACAGCATAATAGTAAATTTGAGGTCTTCAAATATTAGCATTATTCTCTATGGAGAATACTGACCTGACGAAGGGAGCTGCCATGTTGGACGGGTTCGCTGGCTCGACCTCGTCGAACCAGCGAACTTTATTCTGTAATCCGGAGTATTCCAATAACCGAAATAATACCTCTGTATTTCTCCTTCATACATCAAGCAGCTTTTAAAATGTATACCCTGAAGTACAGTACCCATATTTGCGCATTTGGCACTTTTAAGAATACGTTTTGCGTATTACAATATTTTGCTACCTTGTTTTTCATTATTTTTAAACTTGCGGCTGAGAGATCCCAAACTACCGAGCTAGTTCAGCTTGCACCTTTTCGTCCTGATGGGCGTTCATGCATCGTTCATGCTCAATGCGATATTTTCGGCCAAGTTTGAGGTCTTGTCTTTACCGCAAGGTCAACTCGGAATGAGCAGAACTGAACCCTATAGGCTCAATTCATATTTCAGGTTAACTTTCACTTTCGCCTTAAAAAAAAGGGCTGGATTATTTGCCTCTTTTCAGCATCTGCAGCCTATACTTAACCCCCCCCCCCAAATTTTTCATGGAAAGGGTGGTCTTGCCTTCCCTTATGTCCCTGCCCTCGGTTCACGGAAGAGTCAAGTGGGAACTCGTGACCATGCGTGCATTCTATGTAGCAGGACGGTGGGACTGGGGGAGGGCCGTAGGGGACATTCCAAGAATGCGAATGGGAAAAATAAGCATTTTGTATTACAGTGAACTGAAAGAAAGTATTCCACGTTTCAGGAATGTTTATTCCTTTAAGCGGAGTATTCTCATAAGCGTATTCCTCTGTGCCATGTTTTTCATAATGTACCTTATGGTGGAAAAATGAAAACATACACATATATTCCATTAAGCAGCATTCAATTAAACGGAGTCGACTGTATTACCAATAGCATTTGACTGGAATTGTTTTCTCTTGTTTAGTGTTAAACTTTTGGTCCATGTGAGGTGAGGTTAGGTTAGAATAGGATACGTGGCTTAGCCAGTCACACCCGTCATCACACTAACAGTGGACGCCTGATTTGCACAACCCCCGTTCGCTGTCAAAGGCCGAAACATAGAAGAAATGCGACTCACTTGATCTATATTTATGTTTAGTTCATAGTAGAACGATTGGGTTTATAGCGGAAACTAAAACTAGCCGGTGGGACGTTAGCCTTAGTATCGAGTCTCAAGGGATGATACTTTTGTGCGGGAATTCGGAGATAGCAGTGGCATTTATTGTTTCCAGAAAATTGGGCGTTATCGACCTCCGTCCGATATGGCAGCTCCCTTCTCCAGTATTCTCCATGGAGTATGATGGAAATACTTGAAGACCTCAAATTTCCTAATTTGATGTCATCCTACGATAAATTTGTCATCTTTCGACTCCTCCCATAGTACACTGTGGAATGATATATATAACAAACCTGAATCTCGCAGGCATAAAACTAAAGTGGAACCCTGAATCTCGCAGGCACCGAACTGAAGCGCAACCGACGCGGTTCCCGTCAAGCTCACAAGATGCAACTACGAACTTGATAGCTAGAGCTTCTCAGAATAGCGAGTCACGAGGTTGGTTCCATTATATTCTTACGAGACCTAATGTGTCGAAAGGACACTCTTTTATGATAAAAAAAGCATGATTAAGAAGTTGAATAAAACTTGCCCTGCAGGTTGTGATGTAATTGCGGATTTCGTACGTTCGAGGCTACGGTTGCGCATAATTTGAACAGGTGCACCCAGAGAGCAGAAAAACCTTAGCCTTCTCTAACCTCTGGGAAGGTTAAAAATGGCTAAAGTTTCCGAGGTAGTCGCGGGACAAACAACCAACTACTTTTAACCCTTTCATGGCGTATGATCTTTATAAGGATCATATCTTTTCAGACTACCCTTGCTGTTACCATTGAACAAAACCTGTTTTATATGGTACTGCTTAATAGCTCTTGAAAAGGGCTCTTGGGTGATGCATCATTCGTTCAAATATGTTGTAATTCAGGGAAGCTGGATCAAAAAGAAAAGTTGTGACCCGATATGTTTGATTTTTTGTGAAATTGAATTTTGGACGAAAAAGTAATAATTATATTCTTTTTTTTGAAAATGGAAAAATATGCCCGCATGCTGCAAGAATGGACGGATAACATTATGACTGGCCATGATTAAGGGGCTCCTCAGGTATGAACAATGGCCTGTTTTTTAAAGTAAATAATTCAGTTTTTGAATTTATGGGTAATTATTTGAAAATTTCTGCAAGCTCCATCTTTAGCTAGCCCTGTTCAATAGAAAAAACTTCCTAGTTATTCGTTTTCCTAATTCAGCCATAAAGGGTTAACTATAAAATCTCCGCTCACAATATAGCTATTCTTGTGAAGGTTTCCCTATGCATTCATGAGCATGTTTCCAACTTATCCTCAAAATTTCATCAGAATTTGATGTAATACAATCCACAGGTTTTGAAAGTAAGTCAGATATTGAGAATTGACAAGAGCTTCTGCTGGTAGTGGAGAGGAGAGCTTTCGAGCTCTTCTAGTCATCAGGACATTGTCGATCTTGTTTCTGATCCTAAGTTAATGAAGTTTCACAACCTTCTTGACTTTCAAATGAATCAAATCGGGCGAGATTCTCAATAAATTTTGTGAGACATGGGTGAATCAATCTTTAGGCACCACTCGAAGCCGTTGATCTTGTTGTCCTACCTAGCAGACTCAGGCAGACGGTAATGAAAGGAAATTCTGAATTCATTCATTGATTTGTCTGTTATTCATCGGAAAGAACCTCATGAAAATATATGCAAGGAATGACTAGGGTAAATATGACATTTAATGAAAGAGGAGTTTGACTTGGTTTTATGACCAAGATGGAGTGCGCTCCTGCGTTCCCTCAACTCCACTCCCAACAGGAACTCTTTTATATTCTCAATGTCTAACTCATTTTTCAATACTTGCTGATGGTATTGCTTCAGCGCAAAAAAATCTGATGAAACTTTAAAGAAATGTTGGAAACATATACAAGCATGCATGATTAAAGTTTCGCCAGAATTGTTCTTTTATGAGCGGATATGTTTTAATTGAAAGTTTTTTTTTCACTTTGTTTTACGGTATTCTGTAGGATATGTTCAATATATTATTATTTCCAGTTAAGGGAATATTTTCAAGTAGACTCATGTAAGCATTTTATGCGTGTTTGCCATGAACGACAACTTTTGTCGTTTATGATAATTAAGAGAGGAAAATTCGGAAGACAAGAGAGACAAGACAAGATAAAGAAAGTACAGCTAGTGAAAAACATTTAAGTAAGAAAAAGAGCGCCGAGGAGGGCAAGTCGAATAATTATTGTGCGGTTGAGTCTACTTGTGAGCTGGGTTTCCGAGCCAAGAACCTCGCTCCCTGCTGGAATATAGCAATCATTACCTCGCCTCTCTAACCCTTAATGTTGTGGGTTCCATTGGTGCTAGTGGACATATCATATTTCAAAAGCATGTATTTCACAATATTCATTAATTCGGAATATGTATGTAATGTACTTGCCATGAATAAAAATATACCTTTGACGTACAAGTCACTCCGATCTTCTTCATGGGAAGGCAAATTCTATATCGTACCAGTTTCACATAAAATGTGGTTTCATTCTCCATAAGACTAAAGAGGCAACATATATAATGTTCAATAATGAGCAAAATGTATATTTAAAAATAATTGAAATGCATGATTTTGATTTGGCAAAAATAAGGATATGATTGCTAGCATGTATTATCAGACGTGATAATAAGCTTTTGCAAACTGTTCCTAAAATTGATAAAATTCTGGTAAAATGCATGAAAAAGTATTTCAAAAGACCCTATAATCCACCAAATTTCACACAAATCGAGGGGATATTTTCAATTTTTGTAAATTCGTAATTTGAAACAGCCCATTCGCGCTTTTAAAAGATTCGAATGAAAGGATGAATTTCATAATGCAACATTCGCGCACTTTCCAATCGTTTTCTATTTAGAGCATATCTGATTTCGCGTATCTAAAGAAAATTGCATTATCTGAAAAACCACATGACTTCAGTGTGCGGGAAAATGTAATTATATTTTTTTCTTTGTCGTGGCAGACCTGAATGTGGAGAGACCTGGAGCTTCGGAGCCCAATCGAAAAAGGGCTTTCATAGGTTACTTGAAACAGTTCCAGCAACAATTTCAATCGCGCAAAGATTTAATGGTGGCATCTATCGCGGTCCTGTTTGCCATCGGCGTGTTCCTCTTGGTTTCGAAGGTATCATTGGCGAGTGTGCCTCCAATTAATACAGTGGATCATTCTGGTATACTGATTTTCAGTTCCTAAGGACTGTTTTCTGATTGACATATAGAAAATTTTTTTATGTATTTTATTATCAGGAGCAGCATCAAATACTGGCCACAGTGGTGAGAAAGCACCGTCTCGAATACAGGTTGGTTCTGTTTTAAATACATTTGTCAAAAGGATTACATATAAGGAACCCAAGTCCGCTTTTCACTTATTGAGCATTTCAATCATCCTATACTGACTCGTTTTCTTCTGCCTGAGGTCCTATAGCTAGGGCACTTGGTGAGAAATGAAAACCAATTGGTATGATAGAAAAGTTTCATTTTCTGTTAGGAATTATTATATACGTTGATCAATGTTGTGGAAGGCGTCATTTTCCTATTGTGTTCCCATAGAAGAACATTTGGGAACAACTTTAATGATAAATAAATGGATGAAGTTTCTCTCTCTACATACATTCCAGAATGAGGTTCCTATGGTGCTAAAAAGAAATAAGACTGGTGATACTGAGACATTCACATTGGTCTTATATCTGCCAGCAATATCAAGAATTCCGTTTGCTAAGAAACTCTTCTATTTGGATCCTATAACAGTTTTTCATTCTACGACCCAAATATTCTTCAATCCTAACCGTCAAGCAATGTGAATGTCTTCAAGATGTGTTTCAAGGAAGATCAGTGACATTGGAACTAATATGATAACTATTGAATATTTTGTACTGGCAGATAAACGAGGAGCTAGAAACATGGGACTTGATCAGGGCGAACCGTCGGAAGCTTCGGGATTATTATAACTTGGACTTTGAGGAGTTGCTTCTAAGTTTGAGTGAGAAGAAAGTCTTCACGGCCCCCGAGGAGAAGCAGATACGAAGCAAAGAAAATCAAAAGTTATTTGACGAGCTCTTCGAAATCCTCGTACACAAGAATCCAAAAAAATTCATACCCGTCTTTCTGGACACACTCGCTGAAATCGGAAGGAAGGATGTGAGGGATTTCTTGCTTTCTCAACTGGACAAGATATCGGCATAGTTGACGCATTTTCCCCTTGGAAAAATTATTAATCGGGCTGGCTAATAGAATTATCTATTTGAATGAGTCACTATGAGTTTGATGTTATTCTTCGTCATTTTCGCCGATTCTACACACAGCACGTGTATGGTAAGGAAAGAAAAAATGGTAAAGTTACCAGTCTAAAAATCACCCTCAAGACCTGGTTATATTACCGCTCAGGATGATAATGTATTGATAATTAAGCGCTGGAGGTGGTTTTTGGACTGTCAACTTCACCGTTATCTTGCTTTCAAAATATGTCATTATTTTTTTACACAAAAGAAGTTAAAGCTGGTAATGTCACGTACTTGGTGTAGCACTGGTGCTTAGAAAGAACGTAGAAATATCGAGTTGAATCCCTGACATTTATGGCATAGAAAACTTAGAATAACTTATAAACCGATTAGCAGGAAAATATTAAGTTAGTCCGATTCTATGGACTAAATATTATCTTTATTCCTAAATAATGGTCCCTGTACTGCAATGACAGGGAAGTAATTTGAATAGCCACTAGAACTCCAGGCTAATTTTATAGTTTTTACATTCAGGAAGTTCTCAGTCTCACTAAGAAACAACGCATCCACAGATATTCTTTTACTATTAGTCTTCCATCTTAAGACCACAACGCTCGATGTCTTGCTCCCAACAAGCATGTAACATTCTAAGACGGAAACCATACAAATGAACTTCTAGCTGTCAAGTAATTCTTACACAGACAACTTAAGCTCATTGTCACCAAAACGCCTCTCTTGAATGTTATTTTCTCAGATTTTGCAAACACGTAATTGCCAGTTGGAGCCATGAATATACGAGGGTCACCCAAAGTAATGCTCCCGATTTTTTTTTACAAATGATTTATCACAATTGAACACAAGTACACAGTAATAGTTAGCAATAAAATGACTTATGAAATTTTGTGTAGACTTATTTTTCCACATAGTCCCCATTACGTTCCATACATTTGCGCCAGCGTGAAAGCAGTGCCATTATACCGTCGCGAAAGAAAGCTTCATCTAGTTGGTGCAGCCAGCGACGAAACGCCGTATCCTCCTGGGGGTGAAACCACGAAACTTCGCCAGCAGCGGTGGAAAACAATGGATTCAATGCTGGCGAGGCGCCAATTTCAATTGCAATTAAGCATTACTCAGAAAAGTGTCGGGAGCATTGCTTTTGGGGTGACCCTCATAATTCAGAAACACTTAGAGTTATCACCAGCATATGGCCTATGGAACAGAGGGGCAGAGCCTTGTACGCCTCGCACGGTAGTCTGATACGAAACGTGATAAAACACCACGCAATCAAGGGATTAATGACAGACGTTGTGTAGTGTGCACTGATCCTTCCTTGAAGTGCATGAGAGATTGTCGAAAACGAACGGGTCTCATCAGGAGAAAGTCAATTATGTCGTTTAGGTACAACGTCCAAAAATTAGCATCTAATTCCATCAGATGTGGAAACACAGGCTTTCAGGGCAATTGGAGCTCTTCTCTGCCTGGGCCACTCAATTGGACGAGAAGGTTGTGGCAGGGTGCGGTCCCTGGCCCATGCGATAGATATGAGGTTGGAAGATTCGGTTATCATATTAGTTCATTCATCAGACAGATGCCTAGGGATGGGTTTATAGCTTGAAAGAGGGATGGGGATGCGCTTGCAATCGAACCCCAAGGCTATCATAATCATTTCCCCCTTTGGTTCAGGTCTATGCTGCCTTGACGTACGACTGAGAATACCCTCATCATTAATGTGATTCATACTTGACGAAAAGAAAATAGAGTCTGCGGTAGGTTCTGTTTCCACTGAGCTTCAGATGGTACATTAACATAATGTACTATCATCCGGGAACTGCGAACTGCTACTCCGAAGTGTCATGCAACGACGGCGGAGCAAACATCATCTGCTTACCATGGTTAAACAATTCACACAAGTTTGGACGAGTGAGATTTCCTTTATTCAAGGTCCAAACAGCTTATAATTACTTGAATGAATAAAAAATCGGGCCTGGTCTGGGAATGAAAAAGCTAAATGGATGGGGATTCACCCCATTCGCATCCACAATCATACCGTGTTCCTCCCCCTAGCCTGTGGCCTAGGTGGACGACGTTCACTTAAGCAATATTCTCGGCCATGAAAGCCGAAAAATTCCTGCGGTAGGGTTGGGTGCAGCGCATATTTACTTTTCCCTTTGTCCACATTCGTAAAACATTCATAAAAACATTACAATGTCGACGAGCCAGATCTATGCAAAGAAACCTCCCAACTGATCTGCAAGAGGCAACGCGAGGATAGGGAAGTTAGGAGGGGGAGGTGAGGTGGAGTGTAAAAAGGGGAGAGGTTTTTGGAAGAAATGGCTTTCACATTTCTTCCCGATTAGCAAAGCATACCTAGATGCTGACAGTTCCATGGAATATACTAGCAGGTGGTCTCGTGACTTGATGCGTGTGGTTATGAGACCCATCTCAAGGTATTTATCAAAACTTAATATAAAATACAACACCCAACTTCACGAGGCAAACAATTTTTGGAATGATCTGGTATCTTAACTCCATCCTCTCATCTGTTAAATTCGCAGCCGTTTCATTCAATTCGCAGTTAAATTCACGAAGAATTACTGTAGTGCAACAGTGAAATCCCCTAGGGTGGGTGGCTTTCACTGGGTCTGAAGACGAGCTCTGACTTTGACAGTAATTGTGGCACGAAACGATTCTGCGCGATTCTTCTGAGACATTCTTTGAGAGAAAGCATGGAAAGCAGCTACTTTAGTCTCTCCAAGGAGACTGGCAAAGTGCAAGACCTCGGTGAAGCTAATGATTAGATATGAGAAGAGGTCCCATGTCCATGGTGCAGAGGGGCAGATCGGGTCTCTAACAAAATGCCAAAAACAATAATGCCGCCAGCCTAGAATAGCGAATGATGAAAATGTTGAACTGCCTAAATGTGGAATCCCTCAGTTCCCCGAACGTTGAATACACCGATGGTAACGCAATCTCGAAAAAAAATCCGAAAACCCAGACGAGTAGGTGAATTCGAAATCAAGATCGTTAGACAGGAAGATTTTTATCATACTGAGATTCCATCATACACTCTTAGAAATTTATGAGCGTTTGGGGAGTAAAAACTTAGCTCTATGTGAGCTATTTCAAATGTACTCTCTTATTACCCCCAAAATGCTCCCTCATTGCTCATAGTGAAGTGAACATCTTGAAGTTCTTCGCCGGGCCACTAGATGGAGGTAAGGGTTTCGCTTTTCGCGCAATACACAAAAGTTCCCTTCCCTCTTTCCCTGGAATCGTCCCTCGCAGGATTGTTTTGTTCCTCGACATGAGTCTCGCCTATTTTCATTATAGGAAGCAATAAAAATGGGCTTTCCTTCATTTGTGATCCACATATTCAAGACAGATTCATAGAGCCCAGGCCACTTACGAGCTCATATTCCTGATGAGGACCCTTTTGTGCAGACAGTTCGGCCGGCCACCTCCCCCCTTGAACAAGATTTTCTAATATGCTTTGCATGTTCCCTCAAACCTCCCTTCGCGCACCCCACTAACTCACAGCTCTTACTTTCGCACGCTGACACCTGATAAGGCCCGTCCGGCCAGTTGGATCCGCAAACGCCTTATGATCTCATGGGCATCTGTCCTTATCCCTTCCGATAGGATGTAAATATAATATCGACTTAAATAAAATCACACCTCTGACTCATGAAGTAAAACGGCTTGGACCCTATAAATTTCATTCTTCGACTCAGGTGGACCTAAGTACTAAGCGCCCCAAAACACTGATACTAACCTAAATAAATTCAGGTTGCTTTCTCAATAAGCCTGCATAGTTCCTTACTCTTTAATTAAACCCCTAAAGATAAAAAAACCTCAAGGGAGAGATCCTGGGGGAGAAGCAGCTCTCTCTCGGGTTGACTTCTCCCCCATAGCCATGAGTCACCTTCTCAGGGCTAAGTCATTAGCTTCATGAGGGTCTTGCTCTCTGCCAGTCCTCATGTTGGGAGGATCTCAGCATGGTGGGCGAGAGTCATGTGTCGGTCCACCACATGACAGCGGGGCCCACCATACCTTTAGCTCCTAACTTTATAAATAAAAAGGTGAACAATTATTTCAAAGAGTTTCTACGAACTTAATAATGTCCGTTGACTCTATCCTACGTAATTGGGATGTAGAAGGACTACAAGGTGGCTTCAAACGTTTCAGGACCGATTTTATTTCAGCATTTTACGGATATTTAGGAAAATTATACGCAATTTCCTTCAAAATACTGCCCTTGGGCAACGACACACTTCTGCCAGCGTCGATACAGTTCCTCGAAACATTTCCGGAAACCTCCACGCTTCACCTCCTTCAACGCCGTCTCCGAAGTCGCCATAATCTCCTCTGCATCTTTGAAGTGGCGGCCCTTCAGTCTTTCATGCGTGGGAAGAGATAAAAATCACAAGGCGCGAGATCAGGCGAGTACGGAGGGTGAGGAAGCACCATAGTTCCATGTTTGGCGAGCTGTTGCTGCACAAGAAGCGACCGATGCGCGGGAGCATTGTCATGGTGTGGCACCCAGTTTTTGGTCGCCCACAATTCGGGACGCTTCGAACGAATTGACTCTCGCAGGCGGGCTAGCACCCCCAGGCACCTGTGCTGGTTGACTGTACGCTATACATAGCGCTACTACTGTATAGGCTGAGTCCGGAAACTTTTTGAAGGTACCTTGTATTCTACCCCTGCAAAGGAAAGGAGGATTTCAGTACTCCGCAGAGCAGGAAAGGGATAGCCGTTCCCTGTGAAGTACTAAGTTTAGTACTTTCAGAACAATACATAGTCCACTGCCTTCGTTATTGATCAAATATTGGAATGCTACAAGGGCGGGAGTGAGCGTTCAAATAAGTGACATTGCAATGTTGGCTTAACGTTCAGTCAGTGTTGAACTTCAACGTGCATCTGAGTGTTCCGATAAGAGACATTTCAACAGTGACTTAGTGTTAGCTGCATCGCCAACCAAACACTGGGAAGGTTCAAAATTAACGTTCATACAACGCTGATTGAATGTTAGAA